ATAATATATATAATTGAAATTCACATCAGGTATTTATTTATTTATTTTAAACAAATACAAATTTTAAAAATGAAATATATATATATATATATATATATATATATATATATATATATAGTGGAGTTGTTGAATAAAGTGTTTATTCTAATTAATATGAGATGCAGTATTCTATATTGGTTAATTAGATTAGGTAAATGTATAAAAAAAAATAGATTATATAAATATTCTCAGTGAACATCCCCACCTTATAGATCATTAGATTGTATATGTTTAAGAAACTATTTTATGCTTTACATTATTATAAGGCAGCACAATGCAAAGATGAATTCAATTTGAGCTTTTCATCTAACAGGTAGCAAAACATGAATGGAATAATAATATTTCATCCAAAGACTTTGAAATAAATTTTAATAATGTTTTCTCCATTGTGCATGTTGACGTAATTTATAAAGAATCATTTCAATCCAAGAATTTAAATTGAAAAGTGAAGGCTCATTAATAATTTTTAATTATATTTCTCTAATATAATTATTTTATTCCTGAGGAACAAATTTATCGTTCGATTATATTTGGTGCATATAAAACTTGGTACAAATTCGTGTTTGATATTTTGCATAACTTGGTGCAAATATTGTTTATAAATTTTGCAAATTATTACAAGATTTATAAAGAAAGTAACAAACTAATTAGAATGTTGTGTTATCGTGTCATAAATGGAGCACCAACTAAATTTTTTCATTTGATTTTTTAAAATTATTTTAGGTTTGAATCAAAGTTTGGATGGTGGAACAACTAAAAGTGCAATGCAATCAATCCGATGGGTAATTCCTATGAACAAAAGGAAAACCCAATAAAGCAGTAAGAAATGCCTAAACAATTGTGGCAACACAGTAACATCCAGTAGCACCATGAGGTACCCAAAACCTTTATGCAGTCATCTTCAACCACCACTCAGAAAACTCACCTCCAACGCCAATCTCATGCATCCACTATTGTTGGTGAAGTAAGGAGCGTAGCGAGCTTAGAGTCACCAGTTATAAATGCTCCATCACCATTCTTGAACACTAAATTCATTTAACTTCTTCCTCACTATTTCCAATATCTAAAGCAAAGTCAACATTTTGTTCAACTTAATAGTTCACATGTCAACATTGACATGTGAAAGGAAATAATTCAAAAGGAAAGATTGGTCAGCAACAAAATTTCCCCTCTTAAGTTCAGTTGTTCCATATATGGGCATCTTGAAAGCTACTCCAAAAGCCTAATAAGTCACAATATTAGGACATCATCTACAGTGCTTCGCATGTAGTGAAATTTAATGCATTCTAGTATGTCTTAACAATAAGATATAGTATAAAGTATAAAAGTTATTTTTATTTCTCTCTCCGGTATAATACACATTGATGTGATGCACTTCCATTGACGCGATGTGCTTGGGCTCGTAGTACAATAGATTTTTCGCAATATTAAAAGCAAAATATCTAGAAAAATCCATTACGAACCCAGCATAACGTACATTACAATGTAATCGCAATATTATATATGCAAATATATATATACAAGGAAATATAGGCACTAGTTAGGTACACATTTAATTTCTTTCATATTTTCCACTTTCTTTTATTTTCTGTAACATAGGTAGCTAGGTATACGATTTTGTCTTGGAGAAGATTCAAAATGCGCAAGTTAATGAAATAATTTCATATTCAAGCCGAAAATCTGGACAAATCATCGAGCAATACAAAGCCAAAGATTTGGCAGTTGCTACACACAACACATAACACGTTTTAAGTGGTGGTTCAGCTCTGAGAACGTTAATAGACTCAATTTGGAAGGTTCCATGCTACGCAACTTGGATCACAACATTTAAGCTGCATTTGACGGACTCTAATTTTGTCTTTCTCATATGAAGAGCAAAAATATTATACTCGGACAATAATAAGAAGGAAAAAATGTTTATGCAGATAAAGTTATCTGCATTTTATTCCCAAAACGACGTCGTTTTGGGATTGAAATTTTAAAAAATTATAAATATAAAGACTATTATAACCCTGAAATAAATTAAAATTACCAAAACACTATGATTTCCGTCCCAAACGACGTCGTATTGGGCTAACTGCAGAAAAGTTATCTGCAGTAACTGCAGAAAAAGCGAACCCTAATAAGAAAAGGAGATTAAAAAAATGAGAAGGGCTACGTTTATAATTTGGGGCAAGTTCTATTTTTGCCCATGTTGCAAGTGCTAGCTAGTTAATTGCATAATTAGTTGTGCATCAATTTGGGCACAATTCAGCGGAGCTTGCCATGTAGCATTAAAGGTTGTCGTATGCGTAATATAAAGATGTCTTTAGTGCCACGTGACAAACTTCAATGAGTAGTGCCTAAATTGATGCGCAACCAATTGCGCCCAAAATGACGCATAATTAATTGCGTTAGTTTAGTAAATACTTTCGAAATTGCTTTAAATTTATATTTTTTATTTAAATTGTAATTTTTTAATTTTTCTCCCCACAAATATTTCACATTCAAGATAAATCTCTTATTTTATGCAAAAATTTAGCTACACGTTTTTTTACAAGAATCCCCCAATTTTGTTTTGCCTGATGAGCTATGTAGCACCGATATCAACACGGGACACGAGACACGATACGATACGACACTCCGACACGTAATTCTAAAAAATGTTAGATTTTGACACGTTAGGACACGTTTTGATATTAAATATTATTTTTAATTTATGTAAGGTATATTATATTTAATACTCAATAATTTAACAAAAAAATGAAGTTAAACTTGTAATACCCATCAGTTTTACAAAGAAACATCAGATTTCCTAAATATTTATATCAAACTCAATAAAATGGTAATCATAATCCAACGAATCTAATCATTGGAACTAAAAACACAACGCGTATTGGACCTTTTTTTGAGTCTCTACAATGCGTATTGGAGTGTCGGGGAGTGTCAGGAAGTGTCGGACACGACAAGTCAGAGTTTTTGAAGTGTCGGTGCTTCATAGCTGATGAAGAGTACAAGCAGTTTATATTTTGGCAATAGTAAATATCATCCAGCACATGCACATTGTTTTTGAAAAATCTACCCTGATAAGTTTCAAATGCAGGCTTTTTGACCCTTTTGCCCCATATTAATTAATTAATAATCATTTTTCCCCTTACCCAGAACTATCTACCAACCTACCCCTCTTTAATCGATTAACTTGAATACTTAATCGATTAAATGGACAAAATATGCAAAAATGATTGACTCGAGATTTAATCGATTAAATCTCCATCTTTAATTGATTAATTTGAATATTTAATCGATTAAATATCTCAAATGAACATGAAAACATTGATTGAATGAGACAAACAAGGAAAACTCGCTACGTTCAAAGGGGATGATTAATGTTTAGTTTACTATAATGATTAAGTTTTGGTTGCCCCAAGTGTTCGTTTGAAATATGTCTTACTCGCTGTAAAGGAATACAAAATGGAAGTATTTTACCCCGGCCTGAACTGAAGTTTGAATATGTTAATAAGGGCAGTGAGTACATGCATGTTGGTAATCCTCAACCAGTATATTGTGATTTAGGGACTTCAGAGAGTACTATTGAGATATATACTGATTGGAATGCTAACAGTAATGGAAGTATTAGATGTGCTCCAAAAGAAATGAGGGATTATGGTGACTATGTATTGGAGCTGAAGTCCATACTTCCAAATAGATGGATTTCTAAGTTGGAAGCCAAAACTCGTGACGTGCTGAAGAATTTTTGCAAAATTGAGCACAAAACTCTTCAGAAAAGCAATATTAAGCAACAAATCTATGATAAGAGCTGCTTTTAGAGATGACAAGAATGATAATAACATATACTGTCCAGTGTCAAGTGACTTGTCAGAAGAAGGGTTGTTTCTCTTCCAACAGTGTTGGATTAAAGATGAACCAATCATAGTTCGGGATGTTCTTAAACTAGGGACAAGTCTGAGTTGGGAGCCAAAGGTCACTTGGCGAGCATTATGTGAAAATTTGGATTCAGGGAACAACTCAAATGCGTTAATGAATCAAGATTGGTTCTCGCTAAGCAGTGAACCAATGAGTTTTCCTTGTTTGTCTCATTCAATCAATGCTTTCACGCTCATTTGGGATATTTAATCGATTAAATATAAATTTTAATCGATTAAATATTCCTCTTAATCGATTAAAGAGTGAGATTTAATCGATTAAATCTCGAGTCAACTATTTTTGCATGTTTTGACCATTTAATCGTTTAAATATTCAAGTTAATCGATTAAAGAGGAGCAGATTGGTGAATAGTTTTGAATAAGGGGCAAAATAATTATTAATTAATTAATAAAGGGTAAAAAGGTAAAAAAAACCCTTCAAATGCATGTCATACTTATCATTAATCATTTGCTTGTGTGGGTAAAATATTTAAAAAGAAATCATAAATTCAGGTAACTTCAGTAGGGAATAGTCCTTCCACTATGCTACACTCATTTGGATAAGTAAAGAAATTATAACACTTTAGTATATATATTAGCAGTTAGTGTAACACCATTGTAATCTACAATGAAAAATATTGCAACTCAGATAAATGACATTATTCTTTTTTCTTGTCAATCAAAGAGAAAGATCAATATTAAGTGCATTAGTTTCAACAGCTGTCTACTTTTTGTTTGTGGCCTACATAAATTAGACCAGCTGCATTGACTTTGATGCTGAGCTGCATATATGCATATATAGCAATGTAAGTTAAAAAAAAAAATTATAATTAAGAAACAAAAGATTACAATAACATGCATCTAAGCTTAAAAGCATTAGTTGCAGAATATAATATTCCTAAATGACAAACAGGTAACTTCACATGTTCATCTACTAGATGATACCCCTGGTTGTCACACAGATTATGATACTCATGCTCAAATGATAAAGATCCAGTTTGGAACGAGAGTAAGATTACAAATTTAGATAACTACATTTAACTATGTGAGGCATGAAAATCAATAATTTGATCCTGGAGAATCCCATGTGTCAGGTATGATTTGGTGAAGTGAACAACAATCTTCACGGTTGGATCCATTAGAACAGTGTGTTGAAGCGAAAAGTCCCTGTTGTTGTTCATGTTCATCCATTACCTCCTCCATCTTCTCCAAAATCTCTACCGTGGTTGGCCTATTTTCTTGGAAACGTGATACACACATGAGGGCTATATTCAGCAAAGGAAATGCCCATTGATGTTCATTTTCCCTAACCTCCTTGTCAAAGACCTCACCTGTCCATTCTTCCCTTACCATGGACCTCACCCATCTTGCAAGGTCTATTCTACTTACTTCTATGCTTTTTCCTGTCAGTAACTCCAAGAGAATCACTCCAAAGCTATAGACATCACCCTTTTCTGTTAAACTCTTTTCAGGAGCTGTATATCCCTGAGAGGAAAACAGGAAACCTCTATTTGTGTCCATGAATTTTGATAACCCATGCTCACTTATTAGTGGTTCATTGTTGTCATTGAGAAGGATATTTGATAGCTTAAGATTTCCATGAGGAATGACCTCCTGTCCATCCACCTTCTTATATATGAAACCCAAACCCCTTGCAATCCCACATGCTATAGAGAGACGTAGTTTCCATGAGAAATCTTTTCTACCTGCTATATAATCTGCATAAAAATAAATAAAATTTGTTAATACCCAACACTCTTTATATTTGTTAAAACTATTCATTGCTATGTACCAAAAAAAAAAAAAAAAAAAAAACTATTCATTGCTTTTTTCTAAAAGTTTCTATATATAATCAGATGATCTAAAGTTCAATCCTTATAGTCCCAAAGTAAAATTTTAACATAAGGTCACAAGATATAAAATGTGTCCGTGCATTATCCACGCTTTAAAGCCCAAAATTAATTTTTGCATGGTGGTGTAGTTTAATCTTTGGTGGAAGTTAGTTTGTGACAATATTAATGTGCAAATCTGAGGTTTCAGCTAGTATTGTGCTAATGGTCAAGGCAGAAATATATGTATGCACATGCAATTCATGTTTAGGAACACATAGATAAGGTTAATTATATGTGTAGAGTCTAGCAACTACTAAAAATTTCTAAGCTTAACTCACCGTTTAAAAGATTAAGCAAACTTCCATTGCTTTGATATTTGTAAATGATGAGTTTTTCTTCACTTGTAGAGCGGTAACCAACAAGGGGAAGGATATTTGGATGTTTCAAGTTACTTATCTGCTTTAATGTCTCTCCAAATTCATCAGATGATACCTGCAAATTCTTTAATCTTTTGACTGCATAGTGAACATTATTATCGAGTTTCACCTTGTAAAGGCTGCTAGAAAAGCTTTCGCTTTGCAAGTCAGCTGTGGCACGAAGCAGGTCCTCTAGTGTGAATCTTTCATGATCTTCAACAAAGAACACAAGTTCTGAATCCCCTTCCTTTATTTGCTTCACCTCTTGAATCTCAGTTGTAGCCTTTTTTATTGGAGACACACGATGGCTTTTCATAACACGTCCCTCTGCATTTAACTTAGCTGACATCTTCATAGCAAAGTAAATGGATGGAAAAACCAAACCAATGCCCAAAATTAACACCAACAAGGCTTCCCAATGAAAATACCATGGCTTCTTGGCATTACCAGGTGTGCTGCCACTTAAAGGAGCTGGTGCTGGTTGATTTGTATTTGTATAACCTTCCTTGTTGCTTTCTAACTTTCTTGGAGTCACATAATAAGTAAAAGGACGCTTATATTCTTTTTTACTTGGAATCACACCAGAAAATTTATTGTTAGAGATGTCTAAGCTTTTCAGATATTTTAATTTTGTTAAAGCCTTAGGTACCCTCCCACTCAATTGATTGCTGGTTACATTTAAATGCATCAACCTTGTACACTGCAAAATTGAGTGTGGAATAGTTCCTCTAATGTTATTCTTAGCTAAGCTCACCACTCTAAGCTTTTTGAGCCTGCATAGGGAATCTGCATCAATTATGCCAGTAAGGTTCAAGTTTTCAAGCCTTATCTCTACAATATTAGTAGCATTCGAGTTACATCTTACACCATTCAACTTAACCAAGCACGGATTCGATGCTGACCCATTCCAGCTAATGTTAAGTACATTTTTGGGATCAACACCCCTAAGGAAATTGAAGAAAAACTCAGATTCTGATAACTCACCTCCTGTACAAACCATGATAAAGAATGGAAGTAGAGCAAAGCAAACCAGCTTCCTTAGAAACATAGCAAGATCTCTTGTGTCCTGCATTTTTTGTGGTCGCCCTTCCTTGAATTTTCTTCTCTTTTGTTAAGGGTGCCTCGAATGAATCATGTTAGTCCTTCTTGCTTCTTTATTTGTGCAGTGGATAACGACATGTCTTTTCCTAGGAATCAACGATATTTTCGTCCTGTACTTTTGTTATTTGGTGCTTCGTAAGTTTCTCCATGCAATATAAAAAGAGGAAGATTCTATCAACAGCGCACTCAGAAAATTTTTTTATGTCTGCACACTTAGTGCCTTGGTGAATTTTTTTAAGGATCATAATTATGATTCAATTTTTACTTTTACTTCAAAAATAAAGCTTTGATGAATCAACCAAAGTTTTAAGGAAATAATCGATAATGATAATTAAAAAATAAATAAACACCACAAAAGATATTTGTAAAATATAGTATAATTGTAGGGGTTAATCAATCAAAAACTCACCTTTGTCGATGTCTATTTGATCCAAAGTTGACCAGTTTTGTTTCATAAAAAAACATGAAAATTTCGTGTGATTCTCCTCCACTCTTTATTTATTTCCTTTTAATCTTCCTATTTTTTTATTTTCTTTACTTGACTTGAATAACACACCCTATGTAAATTTTTTTTTTCCTCCTCAACTTTATGTCTGCAAGCAGACAATAAAACCAACGTAGGTCCGTCATTGAATATCAGTGTCAAATTTAAAATTTGAACACTTCATCTGATAGTCATTAGATTAAAAAAGATCAATGATGTCATAGGCTTACAGATTAGAGTCATTGATCTTTTTAATCTAATGACTATCAGATGATCTGTCAAATTTAAAATTTAATACTGATGTCAAAAGATCTTACCTTAAATAAAAATACATGTTTCAAAACTGACGAGTGACGTGTATATCGGGATTAACAACATAATATGAACTCAAAAAAAATGAAAGATTCATAAAGTAAAAAGTCATGTGCAAAGCTGTTATAGATGTGATGTGAGCAGCGAAATGTTAAATATAGAAGTTTTTATTTATTCAATTCTAGTGTTATAAGAAATAATTTTAGGGATAGGATATACTTGTCATCAAAAAAGTTTATCACATTTATAATTATCCTAATCACCGTTGATTTTCGTCAATCTAACGATTATAATTTCTTGGATTTATTGAAAATTAATAATTAATTAATAAATACGACCCAATAATTTCCAAGAAATTATAACCGTTAGATTGACAAAATTCAACGGTGATTAGATTAGTTGTAAATGTGACAAACTTTTTTGGTGGTAAGTATATCATTCTCTATAATTTTATCTCTTATATAAATAAAAATGTGTGGCAGTCATATGAGGTTATGTGAAGAAAAGAAAAGAAAATATAAATCTTACATAATTTTATATATGTATGAGATTAAATTTTATCTCTTGTCACGTTAGAAACATTATTTTTTTATTTTATTTATGGAAAATAGATGTATTATGTTGTAGGAAATTGGTTGTGTCATGCTATAGACACAACCAATGTGGATCCCACCACTTTCTTTTCTTTTTATTTTAAAAATGGTGGGGTCCACATTGATTGTGTCTATATCATGACAACCAATTTCCTACAACATGATAGATCTATTTTCCTTTATTTGTTTGTGTAAATATGGATGAATGCAGCAGTTTAGTGAGACACACTTACGCGTTATGACAATAAATGGACATCGATTTTAGGTGTGCCGGCTAGCATTTTCAAAGGATATTTGAAAAAGAAAAAGAAATCGATAGTGTTCATAGACATTATGAATGTCTTCATACATAGCTGGTTTTCGCTCTTTTCTTTTTTGTTTTCTTCTTCTTTTTTAAACTCTTTCTAGCATATCCTGCTTATCCTTAAGCTAAGTGAGATAAATGAGACAAGAAGAAAGGGAAGAAAAACCTTTCTTTGAAGAAAAAAGAAAAGGAAATGAAATGTAGAGTGTAATATAAAGATTGAAAATGGATCCTCTCACTTCTTGTTTAAAAAATAAATAAATTAGATCAATGTTTTTCAAGCTCACAGTATTTGTTATGTATAATATTGTCTGCAGAGGAAAACTTATTGAGATCCTTATGGCTAAGGTTTTCGAATATGGCTAATTACTTAAGTTTGCAAGTAATATAATTTTTAATAAAATAGATGATATGGACATTCAGGATAATAAATAAATTTAAATATTAATTAAATTTCTAAATCCAATCAAATTATTATCCTATTTTTATTTTTTGGTAAAAATTATTATCCTATTTAAAGGTAAGTTTGTTATCATATTTATAAGGCTTAATGTGAATAAATCTCCAAATAAACTTTCAAGCCAGAATAAACTTTTTTAAAAAGATCAAAATAGGCCCAAAAAAAAAAAGGACAGTGACTACTGACTACGGTACCACATTTTTTACTTAAAAGCCACAAGTCCAAAACAATTTCTCAGAATATCATGTGGCCAAACAGGTTACAGACTTACAGCCTACAACATATTTGGTTTGCTCATCTGTTAGATCATGTGTGCTATTCCCCGTGGCATGTTTGGTGGGGGATTGACATGTGTCCCCTTTCACCCGGTCTGCTCTGGCTAAAAGGAATATGTGTCAATCACCACCAAACGTGTTAAGAGCATAGCACTAGAGGTATTAACGGGACGAGTCGAGTTGAACTTTGGTCTTAAAAGGCTAAGTATATGTGTTTAGATGTGCCAGCCTGATCAAGCCTGTTATCTGTTATAAATATAATTATCGGCTTGTGGCCTGACTTATTCAGAAAAAAATAAAAGTCTGGTTTAGCTGTTTAAAAAAATAGGAAAATATTTCTGCAGATAAGTTATCTACGTTTACTTTCAAAATGACATCGTTTTGGGATTGAAATATTAAAAAATTATAATTATAAAGACTATAATAACCCTAAAATAAATTAAAATTAAAAAACACTATGATTTTCGCCCAAAACGACGTCGTATTGAACTATTGTCGATAACTTATCCGCAGTAATTGCAGAAAAAATGAACTCTAAAAAAAAATAAGATAACAAAAATTTATCTAAACAGAATATATAATCAACAGCACTAGTAATTTCATAAATATTCATAAATTTAATGTATATCCAAGCAGCATAATATAGAACAAAATCATTCAAAAAGTCTATTTAACCAATAAAATAGGATGAAATGGATTGAGGAGAGAGAGATGGTTATTACAAGTAGTATAAAAAATATAAAATATAAAAAAATATACTAGGCTAGCCTGAGAGGCTCTAAGGCCGAAACTTTAAATTGGAGCTGGAGACCTTTTTTTACTAAACGAGCTTTTATACAAGTTCAAGTATGGTTCTAACAACCAATTTTAGATATATAAGCTCAGGACTTCACAAGCCGAACCAAAGGCCCTTAATTCATTTATCACTCCTACATAACATGTATGACACGTGGCAATCCAAACGCGCCTTGTGCTGTAGCACTTTTGGCCGCTTGTTCTGAACGCGTGGCAATTAGAAAAATAATTTCTGAAAATGTGTTGGTCACTGTCCCAAACAAAAGCCATACGAAAAAAAAATAGTCATGCTAGATAGGGGTGTTCATCAACTGATCTAAACCGATTCAAACCGCGGTAACCGAACCGAAAAATCGATAACCGAAAAAACCGAAAACCGAAAAACCAAAAACCGAAAAAAATCTACAAAATTTTAATTGGATTGGATCGGTTTTCGGATTGGTAGATGAAAACCGATTCAATATATTAATTTCCGTCTACCTTCTTGGGTTTTTCCCCAATTATAGCCCAAAGAATTATAAACCCAAAACTTATTAACCCATCAACTAAACACAAGAAAAAATCTAATCACATCTCATCAACAAAATTTTATCTATGTAGAGCTTCAAATCTCATTATAAAAAAAAAAACTATATTATCGTTTACTGATGCTTTTGTATTTTTAAAAAAAATTTACAAAGCCAATATATACAAAAGATGTTATTTGCACAATAATCATTAAAAAAAATTTAGAATTTTCAAAAAACCGTAAATCGATCCAATGCAAACCGAAAAAAATTGGATTGGATCGGATCAGATATGAAAAAAAATCCAAACCGAAGGGATTGGATCAGATAATTTTTGCTTTCAAAACCGATCCAATCCAGACCACAAACACCCCTAATACTAGATACAAGATAGACTCAAACCTCATATTTGAAAGGCCAAATTTAAAAGCTCCTATCACATTTATTTGCCTACTTGTATTAAAAATATATTATTTGTTTTATGTTCCCGAAAGCAAATAACCCTCTTGTAATTTGTCTTTGAATTACTTATCTCCCTTATGCTTTATTTTTTATCATTTGCCTTATGTGATTTTTTCATTCAAGTTCTTCCTTAAGAGTGTTGGAGCTTTTATTTATTATGACTATTCTATCCTTATTACAAAATGCACTTAGCAGCTAGCTACCTTATGTCTTCTTCTTCCCCAAACTTTATAAGGAATTTTTACCATAAAAGATTTCTTTTGTTTCAGATATAATTTATGAAATTCCTGTAATAAGAGAATAAATTTTCTTTTCATGTTTCTAAGAAGCCAATAAAATAAAAATTATTATTTAAACTTCAAAAAACAATTATAAAAAGAAAACAAGATAAATAACATTAATATAGGATACGATCACAATAGGTACTATAACTATTCTGATAAATTCTCACCAGAAATTATTAGAATAATTTTTGTTGGGTATATACTTTATTCTTGAATAAATTCTAATGAGTAATTCTCATAGTCATATTTAAGGAAAAGTTTTGGTAAGGTATACTTAGCAAATATTATTCACGAATAAAATATGGAGAAAAAAAGTATCTAAAGTTATTTTAGATAATTTTGTCTAATGTTCACTGAAACGATGTCGTTTTGGGGTTAAAAAATTAGAATGATAAAGATTATTATAACTTTGAAATAAATTAAAATTACAAATATAACATGATCTCCGCCCAAAAATGATGTCGTTTTGGTGAACATTAGACAAAGTTGTCTAAAG